GTGAGTGTGTGTGTGAGTGTGTGTGGGTGTGTGTGAGAGAGAGTGTGAGTGTGTGTGAGAGAGAGTGTGAGTGTGAGAGAGTGTGTGTGGAGAGTGAGTGTGAGTGTGTGTGAGTGAGAGTGAGAGTGAGTGTGTGTGTGAGTGAGAGTGTGTGTGTGTGAGTGTGTGTGTGAGAGAGTGAGAGTGTGTGTGAGAGAGTGAGAGTGTGTGTGAGTGAGTGAGAGTGTGTGTGAGAGAGTGTGAGTGTGTGTGAGTGTGTGTGTGTGTGAGAGTGAGTGTGTGTGTGAGAGTGTGTGTGAGTGAGTGTGTGTGAGTGTGAGAGTGAGTGTGTGTGTGAGAGTGAGAGTGAGGGTGTGTGAGAGAGTGTGAGAGTGAGTGTGTGTGTGAGAGTGAGTGTGTGTGTGTGAGGTGGTCTCAATGTCCATAAATCCCATTAAACAGATTTTTCTCAGCAGTGAGAGATAAAGCTGGATTATCATGGGCTGTGACCTCCGACCCCTCTCTCTTTCTCTCTTTAAGGGGGTTTTCCTCAATCTTCTCAACTCCGATTCAGTTAAAGTGGATTGAAAGTTATTCACTCTGTCCCTCACATCTGCTTTTGATCCACTTCAGAGCTCAGTCACACCGTGAATGAAAGACTGTGTTATTGTGAGAGTGTATTTCTGTAGCTCAAGATAACCGATAAAATACCCTGGATGCAGTGTTAGTCACTTTGGAAGAAAGTCCTTGCAAATGCATACATGTAAATGTATGTTTCAGTGGTAATGGTGTGGTGGTTGCTTTGGAGTGTGTGTGTGTGTGTGTGTGTGTGTGTGTGTGTGAATGGGCGCCTGTAGCTGCGTGAGTGTTTGTTTTGGAGAGCTCGTCAAGCTTGTTAGCGTAATTAAACTAAGATCCACTGGAACGCAGCCTAATTATCACATCTTCAGCCAATCACATGCCCCATTACCTCTCATCCAATCAGCTGCAGATGGGAGGAGCCTGAGAGCCAATCATGTTTGAATTAATGATGAGTGATGGAATGATTCACAATCAATTAATCAGTGATCAATAAGTTAACTGACCTAATACTGTCAGTTTCCTCTCATAGAGAGTCAGGCTTTACTAAGACTATGGGAACATTTTTGCTAATTGAAATAAAACTGAAACTAATATAAATATTTGACGAAAAGCTGAATAAAAGTTGAAATGTTGCCTTGGCATCTAACAGAAGTAAGCTTAAGTTGAAGCAGAGAAGTTACTAACTGGAAATAAATAACTAAAATTGTAATAAAAATTCATATAAATAGTCATGTTTAAAAAGAATAAGAACTAATAAAAATGACAAAGCACATACAAAATAAATTAGAGGTTAAATAAAAACTGAAATATATAAAAACTTAAATATATAAATATAAATATAATATATTAAATATATAAAAAGAACAGAAACTAACAAAAATGACAAAAGCAAATAATAAAAGTATTAAAAACTAAAGTGAATTGAAATAAACTGAAGTAAAACTGAAATAACAAAATACAACAAATTATAATATTTAATAAAAACAAAAGGTAATATAAAATGAAAAAAGCACATAACTTAATTACTAAAAAATTTAAATAAGCTGAACTTAAAAATTTAAAGCAAAACTGAAATAAAATGTATTAAACATTAATTATAATATTTAAAAAGAACAAAAACTAATAAAAATGGCAAAAGCACATAACATAATTATAAAAAATGAAAGTAAATAAAAACTGATAGATAAAACTATTATTAATATTAATAAAAACAATAATAGTATTTAAATTATACTAAGCACTGCAGAGAGTTGGTTTGATTTATTTATTGGTTGATTTTTCCTTACGCATTTATTTGTATCTCTCTCTCTCTGTGTGTGTGTGTGTGTGTGTGTGTGAGCTGCTGGATCTTCAAGTTCTCTCTCGTTCTGTCATTCTCACTCTGTAATTAGCGATGAGTTGATTAGAGCTGTGTGTGAGTGTGTGTGAGTGTGTGTGAGTGCGTGTGTGTGTGTGTGTGTGTGTGTGTGAGCTGCTGGATCTTCAAGTTCTCTCTCGTTCTGTCATTCTCACTCTGTAATTAGCGATGAGTTGATTAGAGCTGTGTGTGAGTGTGTGTGAGTGTGTGTGAGTGCGTGTGTGTGTGTGTGTGTGTGTGTGTGAGCTGCTGGATCTTCAAGTTCTCTCTCGTTCTGTCATTCTCACTCTGTAATTAGCGATGAGTTGATTAGAGCTGTGTGTGAGTGTGTGTGAGTGTGTGTGAGTGCGTGTGTGTGTGTGTGTGTGTGTGTGTGAGCTGCTGGATCTTCAAGTTCTCTCTCGTTCTGTCATTCTCACTCTGTAATTAGCGATGAGTTGATTAGAGCTGTGTGTGAGTGTGTGTGAGTGTGTGTGAGTGCGTGTGTGTGTGTGTGTGTGTGTGTGTGAGCTGCTGGATCTTCAAGTTCTCTCTCGTTCTGTCATTCTCACTCTGTAATTAGCGATGAGTTGATTAGAGCTGTGTGTGAGTGTGTGTGAGTGTGTGTGAGTGCGTGTGTGTGTGTGTGTGTGTGTGTGTGAGCTGCTGGATCTTCAAGTTCTCTCTCGTTCTGTCATTCTCACTCTGTAATTAGCGATGAGTTGATTAGAGCTGTGTGTGAGTGTGTGTGAGTGTGTGTGAGTGCGTGTGTGTGTGTGTGTGTGTGTGTGTGAGCTGCTGGATCTTCAAGTTCTCTCTCGTTCTGTCATTCTCACTCTGTAATTAGCGATGAGTTGATTAGAGCTGTGTGTGAGTGTGTGTGAGTGTGTGTGAGTGCGTGTGTGTGTGTGTGTGTGTGTGTGTGAGAGAGAGTGTGTGTGAGAGAGGGTGTGTGTGAGAGAGTGTGTGTGTGAGAGAGAGTGTGTGTGAGAGAGTGTGTGTGTGTGTGTGAGTGTGTGTGTGAGTGTGTGTGTGTGTGTGTGTGTGTGAGCTGCTGGATCTTCAAGTTCTCTCTCGTTCTGTCATTCTCACTCTGTAATTAGCGATGAGTTGATTAGAGTTGTGTGTGAGTGTGTGTGAGTGTGTGTGAGTGTGTGTGTGTGTGTGTGTGTGTGTGTGTGTGTGTTCAGTGCGAGCTGTAATTTTGCTGTTCCGCTCCATGGACACTCAGGAATGAGCAGGAATTCTGCCAGCCCTCCCGTGTGTGTGTGTGTGTGTGTGTGTGTGTGTGTGGTGTGTGTGTGTGTGTGTGTGTGTGTGTGTGTGTGTGATAAACGAA